GAAGGCTCAAGAGAGCTGGATGACAATAGGGAAGAACAGGCAGAAGGAAGATGCATGACAACATCCAGAACCAAAACCCAGAAGGGGATATTGTCCATTCAGTGGACAATGTTGGTAATCATGTGCACACTTTTGATGATGCCAGATATGACTCTGCAATTGATGGAGAGGAAAGGAGATTTGGGGACATTGGTTTTCAATATGTCCCAGAATCAGCAGGGCCCATTTCAGTGGAAGGGGAAGTCGCAGAGGTCACCAAGGGCTGCACCTCTGTTACAGGAGAAGCCAGTGTTCCACTTAGACAAAACAGCCCCAGACCAGTTCGGAAAAGAGTCAGACCAAAACGATACGAAAACTAGAATTGAAGCACCTCTAGGAAAGTCAACAACAGTTTCTAAAAGTATAAATGTAACACATTTGACAACAGTAGCGCCTCAGATGATTTCATCAACGCCAACTTCATTGTCTACTGTGGTTAAGGTTAAGTTTGGAGGTTCGGCATATCTTCCCTGTAAATGTGAGAAATGGAATACGGGTGGTAATGTACCTCCCAAGTGGTTAAATAGTCGCGGTAAAGATGTGTTGTTATCAGGACTGGAGGGTGTACCCCCTAGTCAAAGAAAGTTTTCTCTGTTTAATGATATGAGGCGGTGGAAAATTGTCGGTGACTGTTCACTTGTTTTGCGTAATGCTACCTGGGAAGACTTAGGGGAATATAGTTGTACGTATTTAAAGCCAGATTTTAAATTTGTTCCGTTTCAAAATTATTGGATACAAGGTTATGTGACCCGTAAGGTGACGCTTATGATGAAAGATTTAGAGCCTGGTGAAGTGACAACAGTCACCAAAGGAGTTCAGGAGCAGTATCCTACAGTAGTCACTCCAAGAGTGAATAATACACAGAGAACAGTTGTCATTGGGCCCTTGGAAATAACTGAAAGAGTTAATACATCAACTAATGTGATTGTTTTAGCAGAAACTGTGGAAGAAATGAATGTTACAGAGGCAATAACAACCATTGTAAATATGACACAGACACCGACTACAATTTTTCGGGAAGTAAAGGAGTTGGTAGACGTAACTCGGAAACCTGCGTTACAGATGAAGATTGGGGAGCAAAGAATGCAAGAAAATGATGAGGAGTCATCTGAAACCGTTCAGAATATTATCCCACATGTACCAAATGAGTTCTTTACTGTTGATAAAATACCAGAAGATATGACTGATCAATATCGCTCGTTACAGAAGAGGGAAGCTACATGGAAGGCATATGGGTTTGATTCTTCTGTTTTGAAAATTACAGATGGCTGGGCAGGTAGGAATTTGTGGTTCCAGCAGTTAACTCATTCTGTAAGATCAGTTAAGAAATTAGATGGTCCATGTCTGTTGAAAGTTCCCGCACCAGGCACGTGGGATTCAATTTTAGAGACAGTGGCCCAACCTCTATCCGTTATGTGCCAATCTTATGCTTTATCATGGCTGTCGTATCAGCAACAATCGTCAACAGATATAGTGATGTCGTGGTCGTCGCAGTTGTTTAGACCTAGACTTAATTGTTCTTGGATAAATGAATTACCCTATGTGAATTTGTTAGATCAGAAGGAAAATAAGTTAACGGCAATTCCTGAAGCAATGGAGGTAAGACCTGTGAGGGCTAGTAGCTGTTTTTGCTCAAATAAGACGTATGATGGGCCAGGGATGTTTATGGGAATATCAGAGTGTGATGAGTATATGATGTCTTTGGATAAGCATGACCGTAAGGTTAGAGGAAACACATACGAAGCAACTTTTGCTGTGCCATCTAGTAAGAAGGGAAGGACTTTGAGGGTAAGAGATCAGCTTTTGCCTGGCAATGTGACGATAGGGAATTTTCAAGATATTTGGTGGGTTTGTGGTGATAAGGCATATATATTCTTACCTTATGGATGGATAGGATTTGTTACATGGCAACGCTAAAACTTCCGTATGAGGTGTTTACAATCCATAAAGGGGAGACACCTGCTATAGCTCATTCTGATCCGGGGGTCGGAAATAGGGTGAAAAGGAGCATGGCACAATTTCATAATCTTGAAGCCTACCATTGGAGGATAAGTCTAGGTGAGAAGTGGGGACTTGGACTTTTTCCATGGTATGGTGTAACATTTTTGGCAGATCACATTGATAATATTACTTATACTTTGCAGGGATTTGCAAATGAAACTATACGAGGGTTTAATCTTCTGTCAAATACTCAAAGAAGTCACAGACTGACATTGTTGAAACATGACATGGCTCTCGACTATATTTTAGCCAAACAAGGAGGTTTGTGTGTGGCTATGAACTTGACGGGAGACGGTTGTTATACTTTGATCCCAGATAGTTCTGATAATATCACTAGTGTTATAGATGCATTAAAGAGTATAAGGGATGCGTTTGGTCAATCTGAGGGAGCTGGATGGTCAGCAAATACTTGGCTACAAAATCAGTTAGGACCAGTGGGAGCAGTGGTGGTTCAGATTTTGGTAGCAGCCTTTGTAGCGCTGTGTTTGATGTTTTGTTTTTTGTACGGTGCTATTGACTTTTGCGAAAGCTATGATATTGAGATGGGTTGGAGTGATAATGCCTGGGGAGAACACTCAGATGCCTTTGTTAACTATGGCTGATTCAGATGGAGATGATGAAGGGAAACCAGATGAATTAATGATGGAAAGATATCCATTCTAATGTTACTTTGTATTTTCATGTATTGAGGTTTTAATTTTCATGTGTTATTTGCAACAAGATACTGGTTGGTGTTTTCTTTTCTTCCAGAGTATATGGGGATGTATAGATGGGGATTTAAATACTCAAACAAGGACAGTATGAATGGACTCTGGACAAGGACGGTGTGGAAACGTCTGGATTGCATCGACACTGCTGAGGAGCTGCAGTGGAATACTTTCCTGTGTCTACTTTGATATAGATATGAATACATATGTGAATGAATAATACTTAATTAACAATTATATTCTTTTTGTGTTAACTGTGTAAAGACTTGTACTTTCACTTAGGGAGTTAATATTTGGGGACCTCAGGTTTTTTTCTTTTTCTTGATGCTTAGGGATATAGGGTCTAGGCAGGGAAAGGTCCGTTGGAGGGTCCGATGGGTTGACCAGCCTGAATTCGGACATTGTTTTGATTTGTTTAATTTCCTGAGGTTTTCACATGTATTGGCTAAACCGTATTTCTGTATTGACTGATAAAGATGTCGTTTATTAATTGGACTGGAGTACCATGCGTGGCCGCCTAAGGCAGAGGGGCCGTGAGAAAATTTTCCTGTCTAGATTGTCTTAGAGGGAATTTGGAATGAAGGCTGCCGGACAGGTTTTTCGTTCTCACACTCCATAAAGTTGATATGCTGCTAAAAATAATATGCAAGAAGTATGTGTTGGAGAAATTTATCTCTTTTTGTTTTTCGAGACTCAATTAAGTCTCGTAGGGGGGAATATGTGGTGTATAACATATGTGCATTTGACCATTTGACAGTTTAACATAATGCTCTGTAGCTGGGGACAGTGAACCCTTATGGGGACAGTGAACCCTTATGGGGAAGTAATGATTGATGGGTGTACAAAGAGTGAACTCTCCTATAGAACTTGACCACTGACTCAGAGCTGGAGAGAGGCACAGTGAACCCTTATGGGGAAGTAATGATTGATGGGTGTGCAAAGAGTGAACCCTTCTATGAAATTTGACCTCTGACCCAGTGGTAGGGGGAGTAGAGGTTAGTGTGTATGAAGGGACTGTGCCCTTATATGGTTTTTAGCAGAGACCTAAACATGTCCTATATAAGCTGTGTTCGATGTACAGAGAGACAGAGTGGTCATCGGGCTGGGTCACTCTCCAAGCTGCTGCAGAGCTTGTAATTGATGCTGAATTCTTTGATGTAATAAACTTTTATAATCAAGAACAGTGTCAAGCGGATTTCTTCTCAACACATCACGCAGCATTATCGTTCGGACACCACATACTTTTATCTCTTATATTTGTTTTTATGAGTACTCACGGGTCCTGTTGAGTTTCTCAGCTGGAGCCTCCTGTATGGAATGAGACATTTTAAAAATCACTTTGGCATCTCATGTAAGCAGTTTCACAAGACACCAATGCTCTAAATGTCTGCTGGTTTAAAAAAGGAATCCAACCCGACACACTATCAGTGTTTAGTACATCTGGTTTATTCCTTTAAGGTAATCAGCAGGAACTGAGAAGAACATAAATCACACAATGCGGCACCTTGAATATAAGTGCTATTTTATTTGCGATCAGGACAGAAAGCGATTGTTTTACATAACATTTATATTATTATTAGAATAAGAATGATGTAAGTGATAGTAGCTATAGGCCCAGTAACGCATGCCCAACAAAATACAATTACAGGCTCATGCTCAGGTGGGGTCTCACACTGGGTCACACCCTAGTTGTTTAAACTCTTTGCTGTGAGTGACTTATTGTTGAATAACGTTTAATAATGGCGTTTTGTTTTGTTCCTACCTGCGGTGCCGCGTCTGTATGTAAGCGAACGGTCATCTTCAACACGCCTTTATCCAAACTGACCTGATGCGTCTCTTTCGCCAAAACATTCTGCTGATCTGTGAGAGAAAGAAATAAATCCAAACCACTTCTTCGTAAAGAAAGTCGAGTGGGTAACGTTACAGTTTGTTTCTCGGGACAAACTTACCCTCCTTTCTGCGGAAGCGCAGCACAGCTTTCCTGCTGCCGTTTTCATAGTCAACTTCACAGTCGCCACCGTTAGATTTCTTACTTTGAAAGTACTTCACTAATTTGTTTTTTAATTTCGGTATGTTATTTTCTTCGAGCTCGACGAGCAGAGCATAAGAATATGCTTCGGCCATCGTTGCTGCCCCGAAGCCCGGTGCTCTGCTTTACTTTCACTTTTGATTCCTAAGAAGTGAAACGGCGACTTTGTCGAGTGTAGCCATGAAGGAGTGTTGACGCAGAATGGGCTGCAGGTCAGGGAATGACTCGGGTATTCAGTTATCGTGTGGAAGAAAGTGAAAGCAGTGAACTTTGGCTAACATCCCGAGAGGCCGTTTACAGAAGAGGTGCGCGCCCTTCTTCACTGTTTCACTTTCTGCTTTTCATCGGGACTTTCCAGGCGGTGGGTGAGTATCTCCACACAATGCACTTCCTTTCGTCCTTTAAATGTAACATATATGCGTCAAAATACATGTTAGACTTAAACTAATAAGTCATTTACAAATTAGCATTAAACTTTTAGTGTTGTTGTCTCGTGAACTCCCGTCAGGTGACTCGCGCTCACGTCCCTTCCTGAAACAACGACATTAACAAAAATGGCGATTTAATTGACAAGTCAAAATCAACTTGTAAACATTGAAACGGACACGTCTAATCCCAACTGTGTATTTTACACATTTATAAATCATAATCACAGTTTGTAGTTGCACGTAAATATGTCAGTGCGCTAATGCACGGAAGCAAACTTTCAAAGCACAACAACAGTGTGTGCGCAAAGCAGAAACTTGCACTCACGTTAAGAGCAACTCACAGCTGAGGAAATGTGAACTGTGATAACTGCAGGGACATTTAGTGTTAAAATGGGACAAACTGTTTTATTGGCTCCTCTTTGTAAAGACATTTTATAAAAGTTAAGCTTAATAACTTAAATATATATATATATATATATATATATATATATATATATATATATATATATATATATATATATATATATATTATATATATATATATATATATATATATATATATATATATATATATAAGCAGTATACCAAACACAATAGTTCATAGTCTTTATGTAGTAGAATAGGTAGGAAGCTTTTTTAATACAGTCTGGTAGGAACACATTCAGCAGGTGATTGATAACCTTGTGTAATGGATATGGTCTCTGTCTCTCTCTACTGGAGTGAAAGGAAAACAGCACTTATCTGGCATTTAAGCTTCTCAAGTTAGGGCTGGACAATAAAATAACAATAATATAGCCATAGATTTTCTTTCCAATAGCAATGTAACAAATGTTCAATAACATTTTTTTTATTTATTCACTGGAATCATAAGCAAATTAGGACTTAATTTGTTAATTAAGCTGTTTATTTTGTTGAGGAAAAAGGACTGAAAAAAAGCTTTTACCTACTTTTACCCATGAATATTTAATTTTATCATAATTGTTGAATTGATTTGCTGAGTGATCCACTGTTTGGCCTCAAGTGTTGACCATAAAGAAGAGTTTCATCCACAATCAGGTTTCTTCGATTTTCACTCAGGAGCATCAATCAGCCTTTAAACTCGAAAGAAATAACGATTTGATACTTATCGTGATAATTATTGATATCAAAAGACATGAAACTTTTTATCGTGATAACATTTTTGGCCATATGTCCAGCCCTATGTTAAGTTATTTACTAATGCATACTAGTAGGACATTTCAGACCTTATAACTCTGCCAGTAGCATGACATTGCGTATTAAATGTTAAAATTATTATATACTCTACATCCATAAAACACATGTGTGTCGTTGGGTTCCTGGTGCTTACACAGCTGCCTCAATTTATAACCTCAGATGAAATAAGATACCATACATACTTGTTACATACATACTGGCTCGCGTATGAAATGATATAATTCTATTGAAAATCAGTGATATGATGCAAAACTGTGTTTGTGAACAAATTATCAAATCATTGCCCTCATTTTTATTAATAATAAAGGTTTTTTCCGTAGCTTTGTTTAGGAACCATGGCCAATAAATTGGATTTTCCTCTTCGCGGGCCTTCAGTCAACATTGTGAGGCAATGTGGATATGCTCTGAGTAATGTCATTGAAAGCAAATTTGGGTGTGTGGCTACCATCGACGGTGTGGATTTTGAAAGAGATCCCAGCTTTGCACAGCAGAGGAGGCCAAAAGTTGTACCAGAGCAAAGGTATGCTGTTACACTGCCTGCTGGGGTTAAGGTGTCTGTGTGGAAGGGGGATCTCACCAGTTTCCCGGTGGATGCTGTTGTGAATGCCGCTAATGAACGTCTTCAGCATTATGGTGGACTTGCTCAAGCTCTGTCCGGCGCCGGTGGTCCACAAATCCAAATGGAGAGTGATGATTACATCAACAAGTATGGGCCCCTGAAAACAGGAGATGCAGTTGTCATGGATGCTAGGTTTCTACCATGCAAGAAGATAATTCATGCTGTGGGTCCAGAACTACCAAGAAATCCCTCTCAGCATCAAGTTTCTTGGGCTGAACCGCGGTTGGAGAAGGCCATCAGGAGCATTCTTGACAGAGTTAAGGAAAACCATCTGCAGTCTGTTGCCATTCCTGCTATAAGCTCTGGGCTGTTCCACTACCCCCTGCCACAATGTGCAGACACCATAGTGAAAACTTTGCAGCACTACTACGTAGGGCCTCTTCCTAAAGAGATCCTGCTTGTGAACAATGATGAGCCTACGGTCAAGGAAATGGAGAGGGCCTGCCGTCAGATATTATCCTCCCACCTGCACATGAAATACAGCCAGGCAGCGGCAAGCAAAAGCAGAGGTGATGCCAAAACCTCAACAGCTAGTGTCCAGATTAGAAATGTCCATCTGACTCTGAAGAAGGGTAAAATTGAGGAACAGCAGGTAATTCACTGATTAATTATTTAATTAATGCATTCTGTGTGAATGGCTGCTTGTATGACGAGTTAACAGTATGTTAACAGGTGCTTTGTGTCATGTTTTTCTGTGTGATGAGCTCTAACAGGGCTTCTGAATAAATATCAATAAGCTATATTCTTGTTATGATGTCTTACCATCTTGTTTTTGTGTCTTCTCAGACAGATGTCATCGTAAACAGTATATATAACAAAGACCTGAAAAATGGTCAAATCTCCAATGCTGTATTGCAGAAAGCTGGTTATGGAATTCAAAAAGAAATAAATAATGCTTCTTGGAGTGGAAATGTCATCGTCACAAAACCCTACAAGCTGCAATGTAATCAGGTGTATCACACTTCCTGCACTGGAAGAAGCAGCGACACAGCGCAGCAGGTATAGTATAACTCTACCTAACAGTTTAACTGGGGCATTTAAGGAAAGGGATGATTTATTCATAGTCTGAAACTGTAAATTTACAAAGCAACTTACAATTGCTATATACCCTCCCCGGCCACTTTATTAGGTACACCTTGCTAGAACAGAACTGCCTTCAGAACAAGATGTTGGAAACATTCCTCAGAGACTTTGGTCCATATTGACATGATAGCATCATGCAGTTGCTGCAGATTTGTCGGCTGCAGATCCATGAAGAAAATCTACCGTTCCACCACAAAGGTGCTCTAGTGGAAAGAGATCTGGTGACTGTGGAGGCCATTGGAGTACAGTGAACTCATTGTCATGTTCAAAAAAACAGTTTAAGATGATTTGAGCTTTGTGACATGGTGCATTATCTTGCTGGGAGTAGCCATCAGAAGATGGTACACTGTGGTCATAAAGGGATGGACATGGTCAGCAACAATACTCAGGTAGGCTGTTGTGTCTAAATGATGCTCAATTGGTACTAAGAGGCTCAAAGTGTGCCAAGAAAATATCCCCCACACCGTTAAACCACCACCAGCAGCCTGAACTGTTGATATAAGGCAGGATGGATCCATGCTTTCATGTTGTTTACGCCAAATTCTGAGCCTACCATCTGAATGTCGCTGCTGAAATCAAGACTCATCATCTTCTATCGTCCAATTTTGGTGAGCCTGTGTGAATTGTAGCCTCAGTTTCCTGTTCTTAGCTGACAGGAGTGGCACCCGGTGTGCTCTTCTGCTGCTGTAGCCCATCTGCTTCAAGGTTTGACGTGTTGTGTGTTCAGAGATGGTGTTCTGCATACCTTGGTTGTAACGAGTGGTTATTAGAGTTACTGTTGCCTTTCTGTCATCTTGAACCAGTCTGCCCATCCTCCTCAGACATCAAGAAGGCATTTTCGTCCTTACAACTGCTGCTCACTGGATATTTTCTCTTTTTCAGACCATTCTGTGTAAACCCTAGAGATTGTTGTGCGTGAAAACAGTAGATCAGCAGTTTCTGAAATACTCAGACCAGCCTGTCAGGCACCATCAACTATGCTACGTTCAAAGTCACTTAAATCCCCTTTCTTCCCCATTCTGATGCTCTGTTTGAACTTCAGCAAGTTGTCTTGACCACGTATATATGCCTAAATGCAGTGAGTTGCTGCCATGTGATTGGCTGATTAGCATTTTGTATTAACAAGCAATTGATGCGGTGTACCTAATAAAGTGGCTGGTGAGTGAATCTCAATGGGAATCAAACCCATGTCTCCCACATCAACTATGTATCCACTGCTCCATCGCCACCCTGTGATGTAAATTATATTTAGATTAATTTTAGCATTAAAGACAACTGATTGCACAGATGATTAGCACAACTACAAGCCTAGAATGCAAACCGTTATGAAAGTCAAGATTACCATGCATTAAATTGTTTGCTGTATTTTAATGAAAGCTTTGTCTGTCCGCTGACTCACTCATTGCAGATTATTTACAAATCAGTATCGGAATGCTTATGGTTGGCATTCACCGCAAGTCAACACAAGTCAATTGCCTTTCCTGCCATCGGCACTGGAGGACTCAAGTTCGACAAGAAAGAAGTTGCCCAGATCATGACACTTGCTGTGGTCGACTTCGCCCAAAACTCCACTATGAAGAAAGAAGTTAATTTTGTCATATTTCCTTTTGACGAGGACACATTTAAGGTTGTGTTGCCAACAAGTTGACATGATAGTAGAATATTATTTCCATATTGGTCATGTGTATCCACAGCAGGTGGCTAAAATAAAAGTTCCTTTACAGTAATCATAAGAGAAACTTAGTGAGATATGAATAAAAACCAAAATGCAAAACAACACAAAAGGGACAAAGAAATAGGAATGATGAGAACCACGAAAAGATTGTGTGTGGATGAGGGATATGAATGACGAATGATACTGTTTGAAGTCGCTATGATCTTAATCAGGTAAAGGCAAGTTACAGTTAATAAATCTGCAATCTTTAGTGTGTTGATTTGATATTGTAATATCTGTCTGCGTGTTGGTGTGAGACACTCCCTACACCTGCTGAGAATTGTTGACTGGGTTTGCCCGGTCACACGAGTTCAGTTGCCAACACTTTCTAACTTAATAACTCAAGGAAATGTCTTGTATGCTTCATTAATTGTATCATACAATACAAATATCCTGTATATTAATGACCTTCTCTTTCCAGGCTTTTGAGGAACAAATGAGATATCTCCAGCAGGCAGAATCTCATCCCAGCTCTCCTTCACTTGGTAACTACTTGGTAATTATTTAATGTATACAAAGGTAAGCTTTAATGCAAGTACTTATGGGGATGATGACTGTCTGAGTCTAAGTCATAGTCGTGCCGTTGGTATGTAGTAATGCTGTCACAGGCAGGGCTGATTCTGCTTCAGCTGCTGTTGTGCCTCAAGAAACAACTCTGTTTACGTTTTCTGTAAGTCACTGTTAATTGCAGAGGTTGCCATAGACTCCAGTAAAGCTATTGTAAATATTATTGTTTGATCAATGCTGTTGTATAAATTAATAAAAAAAAATAGTGAAATTGATCCTAGATTGCTGCACTGATGGTGAGCTTGTGATGTCTTCTCCAGCAGCACATGAGGAAAGAGATGAATACCAAGGCAGCAGAGCTCCCACTCCCCAGATCAGCCTGAGCGGCCGCTCTGCAGAGGCGCTAAACGAGGCTGAACGGTGGCTCCAGGGCCTCTTCAAATCCTCTGGCACTGTCGTTATCCGCAACAACTTCATCCAGCACTTTGGCGAGCAGGAACACCTGCAGCTATCCCGTCTAAGCAAAAAGGGCGTTTTCATTGAGGAGGTTCTGAGCAAAGGTCGTGCAAGCATAATTGTAAACAGGGGTTCAAATGAAGACGTTGCAGTTGCCGGGTTCCAGGTGGAAGCCATGCTCTGCAACGTCCAGAAGGAGTTTGTCAGAGAGGAAAAGCTTGCCATGTTTCAAATGCTGACTAATCATGTGTCCTTTGAAAGAAAGGCCGTTGACCCCTCAACCTCAGAGTTCAGAGACAGATCTAACTTCCCAAAAACGGGGCTGCGGGTATTGAAGGTACAGTATGTGTGAATGCAACATGCTCAACGTTGTAGGAAAGCTTTATTCTAAGGTTTACATCAAATTTAGATTTTTCAATGTCTTCATATGGTTTCATATATTTAAATTATTCTACAATTACCAAATGAGCAGGAGTTGAAATTTTGCTTTCTCAAATGAAGAAGTGTTTAGATTTGTTTCACACACTGTCGCTGTTTGACCAGTGAAATATTTTGTTTTTCAGGTGGACAAAGTGGAGAACAATGCACTGAATTTACTGTTCGATTTCAAAATGGTCCAGCTACACTGCTCCTCTCCGCGAAAAATGTTTCAACGCATACCTGCGCAGTTCTGTGAGATGGTTTGCCACATTGGATTCCACGCAGAGTACGCACCTCCTGAAGGTATGACAACGCTTCTACAAATAGCATTTAATAATGCAAACAAACTCTTTACGTATGGTAAATGATCAGTTTCTAGGGTCTTAAAATTACAGCTGTACAGATATTCACCATCAAAGTTAGAAAAGTGATCACAACAAAGACACTGAAAGAATAGCTATTTGTCTTGTAAATCTCCCTCTGTACACAGACCCAGCATATGGAGAGGGCATCTACTTTGCTGGCACTGTGAGAAAGGCCATGGAAGTGTGGAAGGAGCCAAGCGAGGAGTATCTGTACTTTGTGGAAGCCGACGTGCTGACAGGAAACTCCACCCCTGGTAAACCAGGACTCATTCTGCCACCTGCTGTGGAGACAGACCCACAAGTGATGTACAACAGTGTGCACGGAGGACCTGATATCTCTGTTGTATTTAGTACTTATCAAGCTCTGCCCAAATACATCATCACCTGTAAGATGGGCTAAAGGGTGATCTCATCTCTGTTTCCTCTGGTATTGTATGGTGCGAAACGCTTACAGTGCTGGAGAAAACTTAATTATAAGTTGGATTCTTGTAAAACAAGCTGAGGCGCAGCGGAAACAAAGATGTCAGATTTGTTTTCTTGAAGCTGAACATTGCATTTTTTTTTTTTATCATTATAAGTTAGCTTCTTTTTGGGCGATCAACATACTGTAGGCCTATATTTTACATAACGGCACAAATATTTGTATATCAAAGATTCAAATTTAAAAATGCACTGTCTCCTAGTAAGAATATCATACTCTTGTTAACAACGGTATGAGTTATTTTAGTGATACCATATACACAACCATCATTACAGCAACATATTGCTGACATTAAGCTGGTTTCACTAAGAGGAAGACTAATATAATCCTTCATCTGCTTTGGTGAGCAGGTTGTGTATTACAGCGTTACCTTAAATAAAAGATTTTACTCTGATTGTAAGATGTCAATATCAAATGTATTACAAAATGGAAATTGACGACAGTCGGATGGAGCACCTGTGTGATGCCGTGTGCCTCATGCTGATAATCAAAATTAAAAAAAGTTGTAATTGAATTGTTTTTTCTTTCTTTGAACACCTAATTGTAACACCACTTCAGAGACGGGAGCACTTAAGCGAGGCAACTGCCTTTCGTTTCAAATCACAGACCATAACTTTAAACACTTGTGCAGGTTTTTTTTAATGTATATTTGAAGATCCTTTCATGAAGCTCAGCTACATGGATTTAAAGAAATCAAATACAGTTTATGTTTTACAAACATGTAAGTAAACAACATTAAATACATGTATAAAACTTTTATACAGGACACATGAAGACATAAAAGGACGTCCCTCATATTGTTAATGATACAATACAACAACATAATTGTTAGAAATCACAGTATATTGAGCATGAAGGTTCATCCCTAACTTTCAAAATTGTTTGACAAGAGAAAAAATTTACTCAAGGTTCATTTAATAGGGTTTACTGGAGCGTTCATCTTCATCTGACAGCCGTCAGCAGATAAAAGTTTACCTAGTTTTTATGGAGACCTTGACAACTGGCTGGACTTTAATAAATGCCTCTCTTTGCAAAATGTAAACAAGCATTTGAGACATTGGAGAAATGTTCAATCTTTAATTTGGAACCATGACTTAATAGAAGTGTTTAGCTTAAATTCTGTGTCACAACAACATCTGGCCTTTACATACAAAAAGAAACTAACAATTTGACAGCACAACAGAAATCCACACATCTCTGCAGACGACAAAGAGTCTCTGACGAATGTCTGGATATCAGCAAGAGACTTACTTCAGCTGTGTATGTGATTTATTACTGGGAATAATGTCACATCTGAGCGATTGTCTATGTAAATGTTACAGCCATTAAATTGCAGAACGCGCCCCCTAGGATGTTTTGACCAATCCACAGCGGCTATTTACATATTACCGTAACATCAACTGGCTGAACCAATCACACACTTCGACATAGGACCACACATAGATCAGTCCTGAGCGGTGCACACTGGGACGATGCTACATTCAACAATCTTGTACCCTGGTATTTAATACTCCTACTACACAACATTGACATATACAAGAAAGCGAGCATGAAGAGCAGGGAGAACTGGTGGATTCTGGGGTTTACTGGGCCAGGCCATGTGTAAAGTGGTTGCTCGTTTTCTACAAAATGACAATATGTACAGTACATCTCTAAGAGAATATCAGCTGCTCGTGTTAACGACCGTAGGGCAAACAGAGTTCAATAAATATGGCACATGTGGCTTCCAATGTTGATATTACTGAAAGTGATAGTATTTATATCAATATGAAGTACCAGTTTACAACCCCAAAAAAAGTGTTTCAGTGTGAAGTTACCATTTTTAGACAGTAAATCCTTTTTTGTGACTGAAATGTACGGCTGCACCCTCTCTTCTAAAACTGCCCAGATTGCAGGTCCTGTCTTCAACTCGTACTATATTAACTACAGCACAAGCTTGACAGTACCAGCATATGGCTAACATACCCTCCAGAGCGTGGCCCTCCAAACACAGGAGCGCATATTTCTATCAGCTGGTCACCGACTCTAACAGCTTCAGATAACATTCTTCTACTCTTCACAGATACCGAGTGTCACACACAGACCAGATCTCCGCTTTCATATAAATGTAAACACACACAGTCACTCTGTGCACTCAGCTATCTCTGTGCCATCCACGAGCAGCGTGTGAATGATGCCGTCTCGTCTCTTCCCGCTGCTCACAGCCTTCACACAGCAGTTGTGGTCTCCGAGGGTGAAATGTGTTTCTGTGCCATCATCCACAAACTCCCCCTGCAGGAGGGCAAGTCAGAGTGTGGGTGCTTATATGCAGACAACTGTGGAACCACAGGGTGTTTGAGGCGTTCTTTACCCATTTGTTTTTGTTTATAGTGCTGTGGTTTCTGATTTGATTTGGATTTCCCTTGGCATTAGAATCAGCACATAACTTCTTAAATCCAGTGATGTACCCTTCATTGCATAACAGATCAGTGTCAGTTACTGCTATACTTACCGCAGTCTCAATATTTTGTCCATTACACCAAATATCCATGGTGTCTTTCTCTGAAAGAAAAAAAAACAGACACCGAGTCAAACAAACATGCAGCTGTGGGGCAATAAAAGTATTTGACGTGACTGCTAAACGCGTCGCAGTATGTGTACAGATCTGATCTCACCTTCTGGTTTTCCAGAACAAGCAAGAGATCAATGGCCTGATCTGTACCGGTTCTGTCCATGCAGAAACATATTATGGTGAATAAATATACTATTTTATGTTATTTGCTATGGCCAGTGATATTTAGCAGCTAGATCAGGATCGGCAGGATGTTGGTTTATTCTTCAGCTTTAAATTTTTCATACTTGAACTACAAGAGGATAATGGATCCACAGCACTTGAAAGGTAACTGAAAATTTGAAACAGTAAAATTATATTTCCACTGTGTTTCAATCTGGTCAACAGGGGAGCTGCAGCTCCTACAGCGCCCCACCTGCTGTGTCATGAATCACTTGCATTCTTTGCTTGACAAACTGATCACCTAAAAATAAAAATCATGGTAAATATAATGGCAAGAACATGTGAATCTATTTTATTGAAGTTCTAAGAAACAACTAAGTCCTTGATTTTGAGATAATAATTATTTCCTAACCTCAGAGAATATGGGAAAACTTTCTCAGTGGTGGAGAAACTGGGGTCAAAATCAATCTAACTATTACATTAGTATTAATACACATTTATTATTTGTTTAAATCTGTAAATAGAATTTTAATGAAGATGTTTTTAAAGCAAAAAAAATCATTTATTTGGAAACCTCCAACTGAACTAAATCAAGATAACATATCTTTAGAATCCTCTGAATCACTTCACTGAAACAAATCACAAAAACAGGAAATGATCACACCCCTCCAAAACTCTCAATCATATGTTCTTGTTTTTCATTGTAAAGGAACAACATTTGTAACGCTTGCTTTTTATGTTTCTAGGTATCAACTAAATATGCTAAATATGTTAGTTTATAAATGTGCTCTTTGTTTAAGGAGGGTCCTGTGTTTGGTAAAATAAGAAACAGAACAATACTGCTTTATCATGATGGCACCATTTAGGAAGGCCTCACTTGTGTTTCGCTGATAACTAATGTTGGGCCACCTCTGGGGGAGACACTTACTAGAGGTGTGGTGACACAAAACACATGATGAAGGAAGATGAATGATCTCAAAATAGTAAACGTCACAATAGTCATTCCCTAGTTTGTAACGTGATAATTTGCCTCTATAAAGTCTGTGTGGCAGTTGCAAATGTTTTTATATGAAAAAAAATTCCTTATAAACACAGTTCTCGCCTGTCACATTTTATAGCTTTTGATAGCTTAAAGTGCATTTTTATTCTACATTGTTCAGCTTCTCAAATTCAAAAGTGACTTTTATCTGGCTGGGAGTTTCATTTGAATATTTGTAGGGTTTTATTTTGACTGCTTACAACGACATCTTGAGGATATGTAATCACCCTGAAGTTTGTCAGAGCTGCCAGTGAGTGAGTGAGAAAAAACCACAAAAGGCAACACCAAGTTTCAGCTGGTTAAGACAAGATAGGTTATCATCAACAACAGCTGAACTCTGTGACCAGGATCACTTGCTCACACACACACACATATCAGTGAATTATTCTGATTCTTTTACTGCTGAGATTTATAGATAACCAATGTATACTAATGTACAGTAGTTCTTATGTGTTGCACATGCTTCAGGTGGTATGCCGCCTGATCAACTGTAAGCAGTGTAATTATAAGAAGGATTAACTTCGTCCAGATGACAGAGGTGGCTGAAGATGGCGATGGGCCTAAAGCTGTTAAAGAGCTTAGCCTCAGCTCCAACGTAATCTTAGTGTTGTGAAGGGGCAGAAATCAATCCAGTATCTATCCTGATTGATTACATGAACGATCAAATAAACCACAAGACTAACACTTAACTTACAGCGACAAGTAGGTGCTCTTACCCAAAACAACTCACTGTACTGTTCAGTATTCATATCATAAATATCTGGCTAGGCTATATGAAAAAAACAAACAGCATAATACCCAGTGACATAATAACTACATGATCAGGACAGTAGGTGAATAATATACAAACACAGAGAGGCTCACCCAGGACCACCCTGCAGTCAATGCCGTCCAAGTTGAGAACCCAGGTACTGGTGACCTTTGATCTGTTCTCCATGTACTTCTTCAAGCTCTTCCCGTTGATCTCCAATGTGTACTCGTAGGCAAAACCACTGACTGCATCAATGTTGATCGTTGCTTTGGTGCCTGATTTGCCCACACTGAATGTCTCCTTCCCCACAAGTTTGAACATCCAGTCCCGTCTCAGTATCTCCTGCATTGGGATGTGAAATCACAAATCAACAGCTGCCAGTAGAGCTGGCCTTGTAATGAATGAAGCCGGGGTTCATAAAAAGGGGTCAGGGTTTATAATTAAATGCGTTTAAGTTAGTCTCCCTCCTCTGCGTTAACGTTACTGAAGACCATGATCAATACCTTTCCATCAACGTAGATGACCCTCTTTCCGGTGGTCGTGCCATGTTCAAACTCAATCCTGTGGACTCCATCGCTCAGCGCCACCTCCCACACACCGGCAACATCATTCGACATCCTGCCTTCCGCAGACCCTGCTGGAGACAAACTTTAAAACTAGACTAACGTCGCTAAATGTCGAGGCAGACGCGTGACTGACGTTAACTTGAAGGCTACACCTGGTTAGCTAACGTTAGCTAGCAAACGGGGCTGACGTTAGTTGGAACGAAGTGAAACCTGATGATACTTTTCTGCGCGGGTTTATATGTATACCCACCTATAGACACTGCTACCTAGGTACAGTATTTACAGCGCGTAATGTTAAAATATTACTCAGTGATAACAACATGGCTAAAGATAAGGTGGGAAGTCGTCGGTGTTTGTTACATTACGACTTCCGGTGTCAGGGTTTCCCTTTCAAAATGACAGCATGCAAATACGTTCTTAATGACAAGACAAGTATAGCAAACCATATACTCACCTAAAGGATTATTATTAGGAACACCATACTAATACTGTGTTTGACCTCCTTTCGCCTTCAGACCTGCCTTAATTCTACGTGGCATTGATTCAACAAGGTGCTGAAAGCATTCTTTAGAAATGTTGGCCCATATTGATGGATAGCATCTTGCAGTTGATGGAGATTTGTGGGATGCACATCCAGGGCACGAAGCTCCCGTTCCACCACATCCCAAAGATGCTCTATTGGGTTGAGATCTGGCGACTGTGGGGGCCGTTTTAGTACAGTGAACTCATTGTCATGTTCAAGAAACCAATTTGAAATGATTTGAGCTTTGTGACATGGTGCATTATCCTGCTGGAAGTAGCCATCAGAGGATGGGTACATGGTGGCCATAAAGGGATGGACATGGTCAGAAACAATGCTCAGGTAGGCTGTGGCATTTAAACGATGCCCAAGTGGCACTAAGGGGCCTAAAGTGTGCCAAGAAAACATCCCCCACACCATTACACCACCACCAGCAGCCTGCACAGTGGTAACAAGGCATGATGGATCCATGTTCTCATTCTGTTTACGCCAAATTCTGACTCTACCATCTGAATGTCTCAACAGAAATCGAGACTCATCAGACCAGGCAACATTTTTCCAGTCTTCAACTGTCCAATTTTGGTGAGCTCTTGCAAATTGTAGCCTCTTTTTCCTATTTGTAGTGGAGATGAGTGGTACCCGGTGGGGTCTTCTGCTGTTGTAGCCCATCCGCCTCAAGGTTGTGCTTGTTGTGGCTTCACAAATGCTTTGCCGCATACCTCGGTTGTAACGAGTGGTTATTTCAGTCAAAGTTGCTCTTCTATCAGCTTGAATCGGTCGGCCCATTCTCCTCTGACCTCTGGCATCAACAAGGCATTTTCGCCCACAGGACTGACACATACTGGATGTTTTTCCCTTTTCACACCATTCTTTGTAAACCCTAGAAATGGTTGTGCGTGAAAATCCCAGTAACTGAGCAGATTGTGAAATACTCAGACCGGCCCGTCTGGCACCAACAACCATGCCACGCTCAAAATTGCTTAAATCACCTTTCTTTCCCATTCTGACATTCAGTTTGCAGTTCAGGAGATTGTCTTGACCAGGACCACACCCCTAAATGCATTGAAGCAACTGCCATGTGATTGGTTGATTAGATAATTGCATTAATGAGAAATTGAACAGGTGTTCCTCATAATCCTTTAGGTGAGTGTATATGTATGTGACAAACATTCAACAGACTACATGAGGATCTTGTAGAGCCAGCGGGGGTCGTGGAAATCCTATGGATGTATAATTTTCACATCAACATTTTTTGTTTTCTTTCACAGACTCAGTAGGCTCCGCGGAAATGTTGTTATAGCAAAGTTTCAACAGTGTTTTAAGGCATATTTGCTCGTCAGCAAGACTCATATTACAGCTTCACGACACACTAAAACGCTGGCTACTGTCAAAAGCAGCTGGTTTCACTAAACTGGGTTTTTATTTTGAAAAAGAACGGAAGTACTACTGCGCCAGTAAAGCTATGCTGTCGTCGCTTTCTGTAGCTCTCACCGCTAACGTTACCGTCGTTGCTATAACAGGATAACCTTAGACATCACCTCAGGAATATCACCCTTCATTAAAGATCTCGATTACCTTAGTGGTCCTGAAGTGAGCGCTCTATCTCGGTGGCAAACAACTGATCGGCAGACCACTTTAGTTTATTCACACGAAGTTAGCTGCTGCAGAGAGTCAACAGAGCTGTGACTATGCTGTTACTATGGTAACATATCCGCCTACGTACAGGCTTGGCCCCGCCCACTCGGGAAACAGCAGCTTTAAAATCTGATTTAGGTTTTAATTATATATAAATATAAGGGTATATAGTAGTAATATTTAATTTTAGTGTTATACATTTTTATGTACAGAGTATGGGTCCCAGAAACCAATTAGTATTTCTACACTGGAAAACTACCCTGCCCCAGGTTTCCGATATGCCTGATAATTTTATTAAACACAAAGGATGTGCACCATACTTGTCTCTGCATACTTCACTTCCTCCACTGCCCACACAGGTGTTCTTTGGTTAATCAGACCTCTGCTCACTTTAAAGTCGGTTGAGTTATGGTCTCAGCCCAAATCTAATGATTCGGTGACTTGATTGGAAAACAGCTCCACCTCCTGGCAGAGGGGCCTTATGTCTAATGACATGGGATGGCTAGATCTCATTCAGGAACATGCAGAATTGTCCTTGGGTGAAGCGTTGAGTAATTTCAAACAGTAACACACAGTTGCACAGGGATGAAACCATTTAAAACCATTACCCTGATCATTTTTAGGATTTGTCCGTTCACTTGTTCATAAGATCAGAGGGATCATAGAAAGAGTGAGATAAGTGGCAATGGATTTTTAACATTTTTAGTAATAGATAATCTAAAAAAATAGTAGAATTTAACATCTTGACAGACAGAGCTAACATTAAAAAGCATATACAGGTGCATCTAAAAAAAAATACAATATCAGAAAAAGTGCATTATTTTCCCCATAATTTCAGTCAAAAAGTGAAACTCATATATTTTAGATTCATTACATATAAAGTGAATTATTCATTTTGTTGTTTTAATCTTGATGATTACGGCTTACAACTCATGGAAATCAAAAATTGTATCTGAAAATATTAGAATATTGTAGATACGTATGATACAGAAATGTCGACCTTCTGAGAAGTTGAAGAGTTCTGAAAAAGGTTCATTTATGCACGCAGTACTTGGTCGGGGCTCCTTTTGCATGAATTACTGCATAAATGCAATGTGGCATGGAGGCAATCAGCCCCGTAGCACCGCTGAGGTGTTCTGGAAGCCCAGGTTGCTTTGATAGCGGCATTCAGCTAGACTGTATTATTGGTCTGGTGTCTTTAATTTTCCTCATGATAATACACCATAGATTCTCTGTGGGGGTTCAGGTCAGGTTAGTTGACTGGCCAACCAAACACAGTAATACCATGGTCAGAAAACCAGTTATTTGTCATTTTGGCCCTGTGGGCAGGTGCCAAGTCGTGCTGGAAAAGGAAACCTGCACCTCCATAAAGCTTGTCAGCAGATGGAAACACGAACTGCTCTAAAATCTCCTGGTAGATGCTGCATTGACTCTGGACTTGATGAGACACAGTGGACCAACACCAGTAGATGATATGACACCTAAAAATCATCACTGACTGTGAAAACTTTACACTGGACTTCAAGCAACTTGGATTCTCATCCTCCAGACTCTGGGACCTTGGTTTCCAAATAAAATGTCACAAGTGTCATGTCAGAAGGCCTCGTCATGATTGTGGTTGTGTGTACTGAACCAGACTGAGAGACTAAAGGCTCTTCTCAGGTTGGCTTTTAATTCTTTATTCTAATATTCTAATAAATTGATATGTGGGTTTTTGATTTCCATGACAAACAACTGGAATTTTTCCTTTTATGTGTAGTGAATCTAGAATATATGAAAGTTTCACTTTTTTTTTAATTAAACAACATGGGGAAAAATGTACTTTTCACAATATTATAATTTTTAGACACAAAGTAAATACTTTCTAAAAACGTTACTTCCTCTATTTATTTCTTCTTTTTTTATAAGGCAAGCAAAGGTCACTCTCTCCTCTCACTAATCTTTGTACAGAGCAACATATGTGCTTGGGTAGTAGGCCTACTTCCTTCTAACAGGAAAAACGTAACAAAATAAATACTGATGTGTATGCAACTGGCCAGTTTCTGAGAATGAATTTAAGATCAGCTGTCCTCAGTCTCATAAAAACAGCTATCCAACACTTTATTCATACATCCACTCACAGTCACAACTCACACTGACTAAACGTCACACAGATGTGTGTTTTCCTTTATTTATACATGTTCTATATGAATTTGATCATTATTTTAATAACCATTTCCTTTCTAATTGTCAGGGCTAGTTAGCCAGGTTGCAACAGTGCATATAGGAAAAACTCTTCTATGGTGAAATCATGTGGTAATTAGCAGAAGACCAGACCACAAACATTACAAGGATGTGGACAACATAAGAAAGTGTTTAATCATGTTTGTTTTTGACAGCAATTCAGTGTCTAGTTTTTTGATTAGAAACCTATTTCCACATGGTGTAAAAAGAGGCCCACATTTAATAGACAATGGACAATTTTGGGTGTTCAGGGAGTGTCAAAACATACAACACTTTACCTATTGCTTGGAGAGAGCTGTCAGATATGTAACCTTAAATACTTTTTGCCATGAGAGGGGACTTCCTCCTCAATCCAATTAGATTAATATAATACACAAGTGGTATAATTAATTTAATGAATTAAACAATTAAGTGTCACACAACTTGACTCAGGAAATTGGAGACCACACATTGTTTAGGGTTTAAGGATTTATTTAAATTGTTCTATTTTTATTTTTTTCATTCAAGAGTATATTTTGGCTTTTTCAAATGAGTTTTGCATATTGAGAAGAACAGAAGAATACAGTAAGAATTCATATGATCAGAAAATGGAAAAACATCCCATCTTTTACATGTAATTTTGTTTTGCAACCACAGCTGCTGCACAACTTTGCATGAAACGCAATTGCCCCCTTCTTCCTATGTGTAAGCCACAGAGCCACCCACACTGGTATACAAATTCTCTCACACACATACACACAAACACACACACACACACACACTCATCATATCCACAAGTACTAACCGCACATACTCAGACATTCAAATAATCGTGGTAGACATTCAGATTAACAGAAAAAGTTTTAATTCTTATGTATGTAACTGCAAGAACAAGTGGGTGGACAATGAAAAACAAAGCATTTTCTGATTACAGCATTGATTAAAAATGTACCCAGTACCAGCAGGCAAAGCGGATTTCACCACCTCTTCCTGTTTGAAAGATTAAGATATCTGATTGTGATTGTTCACTACTCTCTGGTGTAAGAATAGCAAAAACAGTTCACAATGTTTTAATGGCTTTCTAGTCATTTCCAGTGTTCCACAAAAACATGTGAAAAAAACACAGGCTTTGTAAAACTCACATAATCAACAATAAAATCTAGAGAAAGTAGGGAAAGTATGGCACACCATAATGACTGTACAGCTTTCTCATGAACTACTGTAATGGTGTGCCACATTTTCCTCCACTAAAAACTGATTGATATTTTTGAGGTTGAGCATTCAGTTTTTTTTTTGCTCTGGAGTGCAAACTTGTCGGACTCAATAATTAGCCTACACTTCAAACAATGTCATACATAGAGTTGTTTTTTTACTGCCTCCCGAGGGTACACATCTGGGCTGTGACAGGATCCTATATCAGACATCCAGCTGAAGCACTGAAGCGACGTATTCATTTTAACTTTGACACTAGCTATGTGAACCATGTACATCCTTGGTATTATTTCGTTATGGCAATTAAACATTAGGGGATGACCCAATGCCCAATGGTTACTAACATGGTTACAAAATGAGGAATAGTTTGGCATTTTTGGAAATAAGCTTAATCACTTTCTTGAATTATTTGAGAAAATCAATTCCACACCCATGTCTCTGTGTTCAATACAAGGCAACATCTACCTGCAGCATCTCTAAAATTTAAGGACAGTACTGCTCTCTGTCAAGAAATACTTTGGTATAAGATCCCTGTTTTAAAAAAAAGCTAATTGTCATTTTGTACAAAGGTGGATTTTGTTTTCTTTGGACAGAGCTAGGCTAACTGTATAGCCTTGTTTCAAGTCTTTCTGGTAAGCTAAGCTAACCAGCTGCTGGCTCCAGCTATGCATTGACTCGTACAGACATGAGTGTGGTATCTATCTTCTCATCTAACCACTGGCAAGAAAGCAAATTGTCTTTTCAAATATGTTGTATGTAAATAATCATCTATCAGAAGATCATTACATAGTAGTGGACGTGTGTCTAGATCTGATGCTCCCTACGCTGCTGAAAGAGCTCTTCCTGTAAGCCACCTGGAGCCTCTTGCTGATGAGGCCATGTTTGTAAAGAGCTGAGAGCAGCTGGTTACGGAACTTCTGCCCAATGAAGGCGTACAGCACTGGATTCACTGCACAGTGCATGAAGGCCAACAGCTGGGTCACATTTAGCATCCATTCCACTCTGTAGCGAGTGTCACATGTCTCCTCAATTGATCCTCCTCGTATGAGTGTGTCAATCAGTACTGTAACGTTATAAGGCAGCCAGCACAGAACAAATGCAAACACAACTGCCAGGATGACGCGCATGGCCTTTTGCTTTTGTTGATTACGTGCGTGAAACAGCGTCACCAAAGTCCACCCGTAGCAGACAGCCATTATCAGCAGTGGCAGGAAAAAGCCCATCGTGTGGCGTAGAACGCGTATGCCAACACGCCAGTGGTGACTGCTTTCACCAGTTAGGTTTTCATAGCAAATGGACTGACCCAGGTCTTCAATATGCAGGCTCTCCTTCTGAATTGCCACAGGTAAGGACAGCATTCCAGCCACCAGCCACACGATACTGCACGTCACTTTCACCAACAGGTGACGCGAGGACAGGGCACGTGTAGCTCTCACTATGGCAAAGTGACGGTCTACACTGATGCATGCCAGCAGGAAAACACCACTGTAAACTGATGCCTCCTGAAAGCAGGACAGAAGTTTGCACGGGAAGTTGCCGAAGATCCAACCAGAATGAACATCGATGGCCCAGAACGGGAGGGTAAAAGAGAAGAGAAGGTCTGCCATCGCCAGGTGCATTAAGTAGACGTCTGTGCTGGCTCTGCCTTTCTTCATATAACAAACCACATAGACAAC